GCTCCCCTCGGGTGACACGCCGCACCCCTCGGGTGACACGCCGCTCCCCTCGGGTGACACGCCGCACCCCTCGGGTGACACGCCGCACCCCTCGGGTGACACGCCGCACCCCTCGGGTGACACGCCGCCCCCATCGGGTGACACGCCGCACCCCTCGGGTGACACGCCGCACCCATCGGGTGACACGCCGCACCCCTCGGGTGACACGCCGCTCCCCTCGGGTGACACGCCGCACCCATCGGGTGACACGCTGCACATCTCGCGTGACATGCTGCTCCCCTCGGGTGACACGCCGCTCCCCTCGGGTGACACGCCGCTCCCCTCGGGTGACACGCCGCACCCCTCGGGTGACACGCCGCACCCCTCGGGTGACACGCCGCTCCCCTCGGGTGACACGCCGCTCCCCTCGGGTGACACGCAGCACCCATCGGGTGACACGCCGCACCCCTCGGGTGACACGCCGCACCCCTCGGGTGACACGCCGCTCCCCTCGGGTGACACGCAGCACCCATCGGGTGACACGCCGCACCCCTCGGGTGACACGCAGCACCCCTCGGGTGACACGCCACACCCCTCGGGTGACACGCCGCTCCCCTCGGGTGACACGCCGCTCCCCTCGGGTGACACGCCGCACCCCTCGGGTGACACGCAGCTCCCCTCGGGTGACACGCAGCACCCCTCGGGTGACACGCTGCACCCCTCGGGTGACATGCTGCTCCCCTCGGGTGACACGCCGCTCCCCTCGGGTGACACGCCGCTCCCCTCGGGTGACACGCCGCTCCCCTCGGGTGACACGCCGCTCCCCTCGGGTGACACGCCGCTCCCCTCGGGTGACACGCCGCTCCCCTCGGGTGACACGCCGCACCCCTCGGGTGACACGCCGCACCCCTCGGGTGACACGCCGCTCCCCTCGGGTGACACGCCGCACCCCTCGGGTGACACGCCGCACCCCTCGGGTGACACGCCGCTCCCCTCGGGTGACACGCCGCTCCCCTCGGGTGACACGCCGCTCCCCTCGGGTGACACGCCGCTCCAATTGGGTTGAGTTAAGTACTGCTGAGCTGGTCTTACCAGTGAAGGGAAGCAGAGTATCTGACAGAAAACGGGCCAGCTTGTATGTAGGTGAGTTGATAGTGGACACGATGGGTCGTAGTGGGGTACCTTCTTTATGGATCTTGGGAAGACCATAGAATCAGGGAGGTCTAGCAGCGGAGGGTTTTAGGGAGGGACGTTTAGTTGGTTCAATTAGGGAAGTTGAACTAGTGATGATCTTGTTGGTTTTTATCGTAAGGCTGTTAGTAGGGTCATTTTTTATTTTTGAGTAACTCCCATCATTGAGTAGGTCCTGGATTTTGTTGTATGAGGTTTTTATCCATAATTACAGTGGCATTGCCTTTGTCAGCTGAGAGGATGACTATATCATCTCTCTTTTTTTAATTCGCGAGTTCAGATCGTTCATTTTTGCCAATGTTGCTAATGGGTTTTTTAGCATTCTTAAGAATAGTGGCTATTTCAGCTCTCGCAACGTCCCCTTCGTCCCATCGTCTCCACTATCAACTCCCCCACATACAAACTGGCTCGGTTTCTGTCTGACATCCTGCGACTTTTCACTGGAAAAACCACCTCTGCGGTACTAAACTCTACTCACCTCGTATCGACAATCAAGGGTATTTCCCTGTCCCCAGACGACCTGCTTGTCAGATTTGATGTGGTTTCCTTAGTCACCAAAGTTCCGGTACCTGACACCATCGCAATTATTGAAGACTTGGTTCATCAAGGACTGCATACTGATGTACCCCCCCTGGTGAGACATTGCTTAACCAACACATATTTCACCTGGAATGGAACTTTCTACAAACAGACTGAGGGTACCCCAAAGGGCTCCGGTTGCAGCCAACGTATTCATGGAACATTTTGAAACTGACGCCATCCAGACTGCCACTCTACGCCCGACCTTATGGAAGAGGTACGTGGATGACACTTTTCTCATCTGGCCACATGGCCGGCCTGCTCTAGACCAATTCCTCGACCACATCAATTCCATACACCCAGCCATCGGATTTAACATGGACGTCGAAAAAAATGGAAAGCTACCCTTTTTGGATGTCTTAATTAAAAGGAGACATGATGGTTCAATGAGCCACTCTGTCTACAGGAAAGCTACCCATACAGATGCTTACCTAAAACCGGATTCCACCACCATCCATCCCAGAAGAACTCCCTCATCAAGACTCTACTCCATACAGCCCAATGCATTTCCGACCAGGAACACATTGCCAGTGAACTCAAGCACGTACACCAAGCTCTCAAGGCTAATGGTTACTCCGACTACACAATCCGCAAAGCCATCACTCCAGTCATGAAAAAGGATGCTCTTGAGGAGCCATTCAAAGACATCACCTTACCCTACATTGCAGGGGTCACAAAAAAGATCTCCAAAATCCTGAATAAACACAAGATCCAGGTCCGATTCAACACGGTACATGAAATCCGTGATCTGGTTCCATCTGTAAAAGATGTGGTTCCAGACATACAGTACCCGGGCGTTTACAAACTAAGTTGCCTCTGTGGTAGCAGCTACATTGGAGAAACCAAACGACATATCTCGGACCGCATCTGTGAACATAAAGCAGACTTGAAACACGGTAGGACTAACTCCTCAGCCGTGGCAGATCACTGTTATAATTCAGTGGGCTCACATGACATTGACTTCTCCAAGACGGAGGTTTTCTGCAAGCCATCCGGCTACCATGAGAGATTCGTTCATGAGGCCATCCACATATACAAACACAGAGACAATTTCAACCGAGAAGATGGATTCTGGCTTAGTAACCATTGGAAAGATGTTATAAACCATTTCGGTTCTTAATTGATTGTATTTTACGGTGACCTTCAGACCGCAGTCCATTCGCTGGCACTTCCTCTTAATACCTCTCACACCACGGTTAATGATATGGTTTATAGTATAACATAATTCATAAGGCAATATATAGTATCGTAATTGCATAGTGAATATACAGCAGTGTAGTATATAGTTGGGTTCATAGGATAAGACATAATGTAATGTTACAAGTCTAATATTTTATAGTCTAAAGTATAGGGTAGTGTAAAATAACGCATTGTATAATTCAAAGGTGGAATTTGTCTATGAATATGCTATTATACCATGTAGTTTAGATTGGAAGGTATACTACTGTATTGTATAGTAGTCCAGTTTATAACACGGTTATAATGCAACACAGGACAGAGCAGCGCACCTTAGTTGCTCTGCTTTGGTATTTCCTTGTGCCCAGCCGCCACCCTCCTCCGCTACAGAGGTGGGGCTGGGTAACATGCTAATTCATATGTTAACTCCGCCCACACACCTTTAAAAGACACGGTCCTTGCTTGGCAGCGTTCACTCAAGCGCTGTCTTCTGGACGGACCTGTTTCTTCACCTGAAGAAGGCTACTTGTGTTGTGGCCGAAACGTCGTGAGAATTTATTTTATTATGTTTTATTTTTATTATTTTATTTCCATTCTACGTGACTTTACCGAAAGAACCAAGAAGATGAATCCCTGCAGTCACAAAAGCTTTAAATCGAAATATATATTTTTATTTGTCTTGCGACTTTTATTCCAACTATGTTGTCTTGTCGTGGGATGAAGTTCAGATTGGAACTGCAGAGCGCTGCAGTAGAGTAGTGCAACACCCAATGTTAGACAATAGAGATAGCATAGAACTGATTGTCAGATCCCTTTACCGACCTCTTATCCGCAGTGTGACAAAGTTATATTTGTGATTTTTAGAGTTGGAATGTATGAAGTGCAAAACCAATTTTTTTCTTGTGCGGTCATTGGTGACCAGAATGCGGTCATTGGTGACCAGAATGAGACCATCAACTCACTGCACTTGAGAACCTCTTTAATCATGGGCAGCTGTCACATTCAAACCAAGGACTTCACTGGTGCCAGCTCAGCACTCTGAGCCATCAGATGCCACTGATATCTGTGGAAACAACACTGGAAAACAAGATAATACACTTACATTGAGTTATATTCTCTCTCTCTATGAAAAATACTTTCCTGCTAAATAAACAACACCACTTGCCCAAGCGTTTATATCCAGCGCATTGTTCACGAGCCATCTGATCTGTGTGTGTGTGCCAGTAGCCCGGGCTCTTCTGTGCTGACACACTTGGCACGTTGGTCGCGGGGGGTCCTGGTTTGGTTTCACAGTCCGATCCAGCAGAGGCACTGGGGTGGACGCACGGCCCGTAACAGGCGGCCCACTGTTGGATTTGTTCTTGCCAAGAAAAACAACTCGTGGCCGTGACATTTCGTTGCCGCTTTGGCCTCCGCCACCTTCGTGAGCCACAAAACGCAGAGCCCGCGGGAGAGGCTGTCGCGTAAAAAGGGCAGCCACACGCAATAATCGCTAAATGATAACTGCGTCAGAAATTAGGCTGTGAACGCAAAATACAACCAAAAACACCTTACGTAAAGGAAGCAGTGGATTGTGGGATTTTAGAGTCAGGTTTGCGTACTGTACTGTCAAATTATTAAGAGCCCGGACCCTCACCATTTGTTGTGCAGCTGTGTACTGTGGAGATTTCACCGTTCTTGTGAATCGTCACCACAGCAGAGTGCACCGTTTTCTGCTGTAAAAGGGCACATTATTTCCCCCACTAGGCCACTTGCTGATATTATGCGTTATTGGCTCTGGAAGCACGAAATCACTTGTGGACTGTGCCTTGGCTGTTTGATATGCATTGCCTTTCGTGTTACATCTCGTGCATTGTAATGTAATTATGTCAGAGACTGCTTGGGCAGCATGCCGTTTCCATTTACATTTATTTACTTATTTTATGGCCTGCTGTTCATTTGCTAAATCCACCGTAATTTGTTGCTCAATCTCTGGGTTCAGCTCACTTAATAAAGAGGCATCGCGTGACAATGAGTGGGTGGAAATCTGGCCGATCTGGTGGGTTGGCGGGCGGGCGGCCGGGCGGGCGGGTCGGCGGTGGTGCCTGAATGGCGTGGCGCTGTGATCCGGCTCCGCGAGCCATGCGCGTTGCTCGACCCGAGCAACGCGCGCTGCCCCCTCTGTACTGATTCGCTGGCCCGCGATTGCATAATGCGTTCCCTCCCCGCCCCCCTCCGTGCCTCGCTAGCCCACCCACTCATGGCATGATCTCTGCCGCTGAGAGGGGGAAAAAAGGAGAGAGGAGGGAGCGCGAGAGAGTGAGTGCGCAACAGCTAGCGAGGTGCACGGGTGGATGTGTGAGGAATAGTAGAGAGAGATTTGTGCTTTGCATGTGAATTACAGTGCAGCAGCAACAGCATCAGCAGCACTAGGGTTTTATTCAAAAACCATCGGCTTTAGCCTCTACCTGCTGGAATTGTTCTCGGCACACCCACCTATTCTGCACCGCTGCCATCTGCGACGTCCTTATCACGTGAGTGTGCCATGCTGGCTCTTCGATCACATCACAAGGATGTATTTATTGCATGCAAATCATTCGCATCTTTGATCGGCGCGCATATTGCTTTGGAAAGGGTCTCTTAAGATGAACACATTTGACCATGTTGGATAAAAAAACCCCCATCTAACATTGAATTTTTAAATGAGCGTTTTTATTCATTTTGTTGCAAAATGCCGCGATTGTCTTGCCAATATTATCTTCTGCAGCTTCAATTCATTCAGTGAGTCGTCAAAATAACACTGCAGAGGCTTTGACATAAATGTACGGAGCAGCGCGTTGAAATGCTACACACGGAACATGACATGCGAGCATGCGCGTGCGGTGTTTCCATTGATCTGGTTGGAGGTCTGCACTTCCATACCCACACCATCTCGCCAGGAGGGTTCCTCCCCGAGCACGTGACCTTGTTGACCTTGACTGCTGGAGGTCACAGGAGTGATATCTACACTCGGGGGCCTTCAGATCTAGCAGCAATTGGCACAGTGCCACTCATGTAGTTGCACACACTATCAATGATTTATGAGGGTTAAAAAAAAAATTCCCGATTCACAGTTATATTTACAACATTCTCGATAGCAGATTTTAAAACTGGCAGAAAAGCCTTCTGTAAGAAAAAAAAACACCTCTGGGCAGTTATGAAGACGCTGACAGGAAAAGCATTGACGGAATTATCTTTTTTTTTCCAAGGAAAATTTGACCGAGTCTCAATGCTCTTTTTCACCAGAGTCCTGTATTATACACACGGGCATTTTGGAGGCTATGTTTGCACGTGGGGATGAATCAGAATGCCTGGCGAAGCCCTGAGTATGCATGGGGTTGCATGGGAAATCCTCTGCGTAAGTCAATGTTATTTCTGCTTCAACATCAGCTACTTTCTGGCACGAATCTGCCACCCAAAGGGCCATCATTACATTGATACCCATAAACATAAATATAGACAACTATGTTAAGTGAAAGAGAAACATATATACTATTTATCGTTGTTTCAAATATAAAAAATAAAAACAACGGATTGTTGACGTGCTCCGACTGATGGCCCCTCAAAACCTCTCTTCTCTGGACATAAGAGCAGTGACCTCATAACCATTGACACATCGACGCATACATATTCACATCCTTGTGCATTATTCCAAATGTTGTGGCCTATTGTGAGGAAAAATGCACATCTGATTATTTCTTGATGTCGCTATATCTTAGGGTGACCTAGGCAGGCTCATGTAATCAATTTAAATCGTACATATTTCTGTAACAATGTAAAGTGGCCGATTATATTTCGGTGGCGGTTTGTTCATCAAGTGAATTTCAAGGTGGCATGCTGAAGACCTTTGTGCTGAAAAGCAGTGGGTTCTTAAAGTTCGGTGTTCAGAAAGAGGCTGCGCTTAAAACAGCGATGGATCGGGAATCCGTGTCGTTTAATTCCAGCATTGTTTGCTGGCCAGTGCCGTGTTGCGGCGTCCGAGAGCGTTGACCATCGTGGTTAACACATGGCACGTTTACAATAACCAGCCGGGGGGGGGTGGGGGGGGTGGAGGATGCGAGTTCAAACTCCTCTCGCTTGTTGACTCAAATTTTCATCCTCTTGGGGCTGATAACCTGAGCAATACTTGGGTGGGAGGTCATCATATGGATTGGCTGACCCTCGCGATAGGTAATGTGGAATTTCAACTGGCTCAAGGCCACAGATGGCGATGATAAACTCGTTTGAGCGGGGAAAGGCTTTGACTTTGAAATCACCACACTTCATGGGTATTCCTACCAAACAACTCCCTCATGTACTATATGTATATATGTGTACACACGACTGCATTGTGTATACATGTATAAAGCCGGGCGGTGTTTTAGCAAAGCATTATTTCACAGTCACAAGCTTGTGAGTTCAACTCCTCGTCAGAGGTGAATGAATGAGTGTTATGTTACGGAGCATGGGCACTGGTTGTCCTATGCTTGTCTTTGTACATCGGTGTACTTTTCGTACCAACTTATGGAATTGAGACATACCGTGACAGCTTCACGTCTTCCCGTGTGATTAATTTCCTAATAGTGGGGGAGCAGGGTGCCTCGGTGGATGGGAGGAGGGGCATCTCATACAAAATGTATTGGATTCTGAGCCAGCAGCACCCACGTCTGTGGATTGAATCTGGAAAGCCACCCCTCGATTAACGCAGCCTCCTCGCAAGTGTAGAGACTTTATGATTTCAGTCTGGTCACCAATAACCACATAGGGAATATAAAATAAAATATCCCTGCGGTTTAGCTTTTTAATTAGAAACAATGTGAAAGTGTCTCCTTGCTGAAATGAGCATTGGGCGGTTAGAAGTCTCATATAAGATTTTAATATATTGGTCTCGCCATAGTGTGAGCAGTGCTGACTTGTCATGACGCAGTGCTGATTTGATGATCCCCAGATGTGGTGATAAGCTGAGTCGACCCCTGATCGGGAGGTGGACGTATGACCGTGTAACAGCGAGTCTCGAACTAGCCGTACACCACACAGCCGCATGTAACCAGTTGTACAATGTGATTCGTTAAACAAGAAGAGTAGCTTTCCTAATAAAAGGAACAACTATGTATGGACCATTGTCAATCCACTGCTGGATGAAGGCCTCCCCATGCCGTTTCGGTCATGAATTGTGATGATCCATAATTCACTGCAATGGTCAGTGTGAGCTGGTGAGCAGGTCCGGTTTAGATATCGCGTTCCACTGATGTAAGCCATGGCAATGAATCAAACTCATGTATCCGAGCTCATATCACGGTGGGCTAATCACTGCAGCGCCACTCCACTCCCTAGGGTGGCTCTGAAGCACCACCTGACCAGGTGCAATAGAGCTGTCTCATTGGTAAAATTTTACAAAAATGCCCCAAAACACCTTAACTTTTAATTACCCAAAACGAGCTTCAATGGAACATAGTCTTAAACGTGATATAAATAAACACATGTTTAACTCTATTCTTGGGTCTTTCGGTGAAGTCACCTAGTTAGGTTCAAAGAAAATAAAGAATGCTTGTGTAGCGATCTAAACGTCGTAGTTTTTTGTTATTTTTGGTTGTTTTCTGTGAACCTACAGTGAGGGAAAAAGTATTTGATTCCCTGCTGATTTTGTACGTTTGCCCACTGACAAAGAAATGATCAGTCTATAATTTTAATGGTAGGTTTATTTTAACAGTGAGAGACAGAATAACAACAAAAAAATCCATAAAACGCCTGTCAAAAATGTAAATAAATTGATTTGCATTTTAATGAGGGAAATAAGTATTTGACCCCCTCTCAATCAGAAAGATTTCTGGCTCCCAGGTGTCTTTTATACAGGTAACGAGCTGAGATTAGGAGCACACTCTTAAAGGGAGTGCTCCTAATATCAGCTTGTTACCTGTATAAAAGACACCTGTCCACAGAAGCAATCATTCAATCAGATTCCAAACTCTCCACCATGGCCAAGACCAAAGAGCTCTCCAAGGATGTCAGGGACAAGATTGTAGACCACAAGGCTGGAATGGGCTACAAGACCATTACCAAGCAGCTTGGTGAGAAGGTGACAACATCTTCTTTGGTTCTTTCGGTAAAGTCACGTAGAATGAGAATAAAATAATAAATTGATAAAATAAATTTATTATTTTATTCTCAAATTGATAAAATAAATTTATTATTTTATTCTCATTCTACGTGACTTTACCGAAAGAACCAAAGAAGATGAATCATTGCAGTCACGAAAGCTTTAAATCGAAATTTAAGGTGACAATAGTTGGTGCGGTTATTCGCAAATGGAAGAAACACAAAAGAACTGTCAATCTCCCTCGGCCTGGGGCTCCATGCAAGATCTCACCTCGTGGAGTTGCAATGATCATGAGAACGGTGAGGAATCAGCCCAGAACTACACGGGAGGAATTGTCAATGATCTCAAGGCAGCTGGGACCATAGTCACCAATAAATAAATTGGTAACACACTACGCCGTGAAGGACAGAAATTCTGCAGCTCCCGCAAGGTCCCCCTGCTCAAGAAAGCTCTCTACAGGGGCTCTTTAGAGAGGCTTTCTACAGGGGCTCTACAGTGACTCTACAGGGGCTCTCTAGAGAGGCGATCGAGAGAGGCGCTATAGAAAGGCTCTAGAAAGGCTCTCTAGAGCTCCCTCTAGTGGAGGTCATTCTGCTAATGGAGGTCATTCTGCTAGCAGCAATATGAGCGAGCAAATACAGGGCTGCACCATTATTTTGTACAGTAAAAGCTCAAATAACAAGTTTGGTACTTTACCCAAATATTGGACAAATATTGAACTGTGCCATGAGCCACACAATCGCATGTCTTCCTTGCAAGATACTCCAATGAGAGACCTTGGGGGTCAGGTGTTGCGGTACCTAGCAGTGAGGACGTAATGGCGATATCAGTGACATGAATCACGATGTCTTAACTTGACCTTTGCTAATGAGAGAATACACCTGCAGTGAGCTTTTACCTGCTTCAATGGAACATTTCAAAACAAATTATTAAAACAAAAATCGCAAGTAATTTGGCTAGAGGATTAAAATGCTGTGTTATGTGCTGTGAGATTGCATTCGCTGGCTCTGCTGGAGGATATTATTAGAGGAGTGAATTTCTCCTTCTTGCCCTGCGGAGGCTGTGTGGAATATGGAATGTCTACCACAGGAGGCAGTGTAAGTGAAGGGCTCATGGAAGTGACCTCTCCTAATGGTTGGCATGTTGCCCATAGGGACAATTCCAGGCTAACAGACAAATACCAATAGAGGGCGTCATTGCTAACCACCGTTATATCGATGAATTTTACTCATCATGAGAATCAGAGCTCGACTGGGATGTAGTTGGGATATAGAACAGCTGTATACAACAGGGATGTTATTGTGCAGCCCTATCAGCAACCAGGCTGAGACTATGAACTCTTATTATTAGATAGAAAAATTATAATAAAAAAATTATGTGAATAAAAACAAAAAACACTAATGTAGACTGTAGCTTGGT